AGCTAGGCATAGCCCACAAGTTGGGCAAATCGGCAAATCCATGTGCAAAGCACCGCAAGCTTAACGATTCATTCCTTTCAAGTGCATTTCCAGCAAATGACAGGCCACCTGAAGGCCATTTGCAGTCACTGAAACTGGACAAAGCAGACATACCCCAGTTGCGCGTGGCTTACATGACATCCGGATCCCAACTGTGCTGCAATTAGGGGAGTACACTTTTCAGGAAAGGCATGCATTTGCAGAGCTCTGCTACTGGAGCATCTTTACGGAATTTGGCTCAGAGTCCCGTCACAGAGGCGCCCTGCCCGACTTTTCCAACGAATCTGCTCGAAGTGTTTACATCCCTAATAGCAAGGCTTTTGAAGCAACGAAGTCGGCAACACGCCCTTGAGGCCGAAGCCACACGGCAAGATCAGCTCATCCAAGCTGATCTCCCCGCTGGACACTGTGATAGCCAGCTGGTTGTCAAACTGTCAAACCATCTTGAATGCAGGACTATGTTGTCAAGCACAAGGGCTTTGTGCCTGGACCCACCTATGTACCAGCTCCATGGTGCCAGTCTTAAGCACGTGCGTCAACTGACTGATGTGTTTGGTGCAGCGTGGACTGCACAACCCTCAGGGCGAAGATGGGCAAGCCGTTCTGCCCGGAGGGCGGACGCTACATGCTAGATGTTGTGGTCCCAGCAAAGGAAGTTCACTTGCTCGAATTCTTGCGCTGGCAATGTTGTGCGCGCGCATGTGTGCGTGTTTGTGAACTTTGACCAGCAACATTGTCATTGCCAAGGCGCACAAACCACCAAGCTATTTCGATGTGGCACCCAAGTTGTACGAAGCACACCCACCGCCTGGTTCTTATGATGCCAAAGGCCCGGATTGCGCTGCAAAGAGCCTACCCCAACAGGTGGGTTTTTTTGTTTCCCTCTAAATCACCCTCCCAAAAGGCACCCTCCAAGCAAGACATACCCATTCGTAGGTTGCACTTGGCGTCGACTTGGCGTCGACTTGGCGCTGGCGTGACCCGGCAGGTGCTGTGGAGTTCAAGGCGGTTGGTCAGGTTGTGTACCGATACGAGAGTGCTACCAGCTCGGAGACCAAAGAGATGGTTGCCAAGGCTTGCTGGGAAGCATGCGACTTAATGCTACATGTGGTCACATGTGTTTGCCTGCGTGCCAGACTTGAACTGACATGCACAGCTGATGGATTTGAATGCCACATGCGGTCACATGTGGTTGACTGCGTGCCACGCCACGGATGGATGGGAGTTCTGCTTTCACCACACTACTTGTTCGCGACTGAGCAGCAAGACAGATGTGACTTGAGCATGCTTTGTCAAAGATGCTGCGGTGCATGTCGCAAAGCTTTCGATTGCCAATTTCATTGTAATGGGTACTTGCCAGCTTTTTGCGGGACATTGCACGTCACTGCACTCTGTTTGCAATGCGTTGAGCACAAGGGCTGATTTTGCTTGCATATGAAGCACTGGTTTCTTTTGAATCGAGATGACTCATGGTGCCCAGAGTGAGAACCATATTGATGCTCCTTTGCAAAACACATTTGCATGTACAGATCCAGATCGGAATCGAGCAGTTGCATGCACGCACTGCGTTGTGTCACTTGTAGCATGTAGGTTAAGAACTTGCTCGCAGATTCATGTCCTCGGACATGGCCAAAAGTTGTGGCATGTACATACATCAGCATGCGGCTGATATTGCCTAGGTCTAAACATAAGAAACTCTTGAGCAGTTTTCCTACAACTGAAGGAGGCAATTTTGATATTATCCCGTTGGAATGCGCTTCAGAACGTGTGTGCATGCTTTGCAACACTGACACCTGCATGTCCCAGACATCATGTTTGAGCACCCAAGTATGTGAAAAACCGGGTCTCTCACCGGCATATTTGTCTTACACGCAGCTCGGGACCCGCCTTTCACTTCGCTTGCAGGCGGTTGGTTCGGCTGATGAGGTCCCCGGCCAGCGACCCAGACAGCAGCCCGGGGCGGCGTCTGCGATCGCCGTGCTGAGTGCAGGTCCTGGGCAGTACACGCTGCCTGACCCGCGGCCACTGGCACCGCCACCTGCGCTGAAGGCGACACGGGCTGAATGTCTGGTGCTTCGAAAGCGCTGCTTTCGGTGCAGGGCCGGACTCTTCCGTACAGCATGCCTCATCCCTACGCCTACAACTGCGCTCCGGACCACACTAGGAGTTTTCTTGAACCTGCCTGGAACCCAGTCGCAGAAGGGCCAGAGATGGTGCTCGATGCATGCACTGGAATGCAGCAAAGGTCCGGCGGCGGAACAATGCTGACAAGATTTTCGGACCGGCTTCTGCTTGACTCGCTGCATGGAAAGAATGTGAGTTGTGGGTAGCTTTGGATTGGCACGTTTGCCCATGTGACCATGTGCCATGCTCCTCGCAACTAATAGTCGAACGCGCTCGAAAGCAGTCAGGCAATAGACATGTAGCGCCAGGAAACGGCTGGCGACAGGGAGCTGCACGACGACAGGGTGGGGATAGTCATGGGCATGGAAGCCTCTTTGGTATGCATGTGTGTATGTAATCGATGTAATCTACTATGTATTTATGATGTCTGTATGTATGTACTCCTTCGAACATCATCACAGATGCCTTTTTTTCTGTTTGGAACATGGGGGTCAGTGCGAGGCAACTTTTTTTGTGAAAATGGGGGGGTGGGTGCAACTGGGGCAGCCTTTGGCTTGGCCTCCAGCGATTGTCAGGTGAGAAGAAATCGGAGCCGGCGAAGCTTGAGGAGCTGCCCGAGGGCGTAGGCGCCGGATCCGGATTTGGCTGCGGGAGATCCCCGTTTTGGGATCGGATCCCATTTTGGTTGGTAGGTGAATTCACCACACATTTTAGGCTTCCTATTTTAGTGGTTGGATTGGGTCCCGTTCACTGGGGGCTAACCAATTTGGGTTTTGAAAAGCCCATGGCCAAATGAGCCTCCCATGACCAGTCCCATTTTCCACCCATTTTAGGAGCTATTTTGGTGGGGATTGGGATGTTCACTGGGGGCTAACCGATTTGGATTTTGAAAAGCCCATGTCCATGTGGTCAAAAAAAGGTACCCGAATTGGAGCCCTAGTAAGTGGAAGCATGGTGTAATTTTGACCCACACCCATGTGCCCATGGGTACGGAAGGGAGGCGCTGCCCAAATGAAGCTCAGTTTCCTTGGAAGCAAGCGGTAGGTGACGAGAAGGCTGAGGAGGATGGCATTGTTCAGTGGAGGCTCGTGTTTCACTTGATGGCGAATCTTCTCACCTGTCTTGCGCTTAGGTCTGGTGGCTTCTCGCTTCTGAAATCGCGCTCAGCAGGCGCAGTCAGAGCAAGGGCCTCAAGGGCCTCGTGTCTATCATCTCGACCCTTGACTTGACTGCTATTGGGTTGGATCTTGAGACTTTAACTTTTTGGGAAATCAAGGGGTTTTCCACTAAACCCCCAAAGAGTTAAACTTTTTGCAGGGGTCAACAGCAACCAAGTTGAGAGCACTCACCCACACTCAGGCTCCGGAAATCGACTCTGAAATCCTGGAGGCATGATCTGCACCAGACTTCTCTGCCAACCCCATGCATCACTCGATCAGGGCGTTGGCAAATTCTACCCGCCCTTGGCCCAGGCGTCCGGGTCTCAGCGGATGCCAAACTGCATTTGTTGGGCTGTGGTTGTCAAAACCAATGGGATCCCGTTTTGGGGGTGTGCGGTGCGCCACACATTTTAGAACCTATTTTTAGTGGGGATTGGGATGTTCACTAGGGGTACGATTCGGATTTTGACCCATGGCCATTTGTTCGGCTGGGTTACGTGAATGCAGAGACTTGCCTGCGCTGCACCATGAGGCATCAGCGCTGCAATTCTCAGTTTCTGCCTATGTCCTCCAGGAGGCAGGTGCAACTTCAAAGTCGTGCCGAACAAGTGTGCAATTTCTTCAGGACAGAGTCAGTTCGCACTCGCGGTGCTTCAGAGGCGGTGGGGTGCTACTAAAAAGGTAAGAAGCAATAGCATTCTATGCCAAGGAAGAAGTGCGCGGCATCGTTTCGGTAGATTTCGACTTTCGGTCCTAGTTTTATTCACTTCTGCATGTCTGCCCTAGTCTAGGCGTCTTGTTTCGGTCCCAGTTTCTGGTTGCGGTCCAAGTTCTTCGGTCCCGAAAACATGTGAAATGTCTTCGTTTGATTGCTCTGATTTGGACCAAACAGTTTTGGCCTTTTACTTGTAAGTGCGACCAACATGATCGATCACTAGGACACATGTTGTAGAAATCACAACCAACATGAGTGGGGCCGGGCTGAAGCGTCCAAAACGACCCAAAAGCTGTCTAGGACCAACATGAGCCAAAGATAGGACCAATATGAGCAGGCTACCTTCTGAAGAACGCTCGCCAGACATTGTCCATCGATCAATCGCTGTCCTTTGGGCATATCATTCTCATCCAACTTCACTCAACTTTCGGGACGTTCTTGCAGTCCTTCGGGAAAAGACCACATCTACATGGAACCTTGACAGATTTCCGCACCGTGCGTCGGGTGCGGGGCCTCGCACCCTTGTGGTGGACGGTCCCACTTGGTTTCTGGCGGATTCTGGACAGGAGCATCAGCGTCTGGGGCAGGGCAAATGGAAGCTCTCCAAGGTTTTGCAGGGCATCGAGGCCGGGGTTTGACATGCGGTCATGGGCTTTTCAAAATCCAAATCGGTTAGCCCCCAGTGAGCATCCCAATCCAACCACTAAAATAGGAAGCCTAAAATGGGTGGTGAATTCACCTACCCCCAAAATGGGATCCCAAAACGGTTTTGACAGCCACAGCCATGTTGAGACCGTTCCCACGAGAGTCATTGCCTCAGACCGCGACGAGCGCGGCATTGGAGCCGCTGGACGCCTGCTGCTTAATTCCTTTCTCACGTGAGCCATGTGCTCAACACCCGAGTAGATGATCCGGTTCGTAAGGGACTCTCCCCAGCACAGCTGCGGATGTCCGCCCTTTTTCGGTCTTCACATTCCGGGTGGACTATTTTACCGGGTTTTGATTGTGACAGCGGGTGACTCCGCGTGGAATCGCTTTGAGGTCGACAAGCTCAAGCAGAATGCAATGAAGGGCCTCCGGGACAAGGCACTCCCCGGGCTTTTTATATTTTTTCTCCTTCCCGAGTACTCTTGTTTTGTGTTTCTTTTTGTTCTTCTTCTTTTAACTTATTTTATTATTATTATTATTGTAACTATTAAGATTATTGTTATTATTATTTTATTGTTACTATTATTATTATCATTATTATTATTATTATTATTGTTATTGTTATTGTTATTATTACTATTATTATTATTACTATTATTATTATTATTATTATTATTATTATTATTATTATTATTATTATTATTATTATTATTATTGTTATTGTTATTGTTATTGTTATTATTACTATTATTATTATTATTATTGTTATTGTTATTGTTATTGTTATTATTACTATTATTATTATTTTTATTATTATTACTATTATTGGTGTTATTATTATTATTATTGTTATTATTATTTATTATTATTATTATTATTATTATTATTATTATTATTATTATTATTATTATTATCATTATTATTATTATTATCATTATAACTATTATAACTATTATTATCATTATAACTATTATGCTTATATCTATTATTATTATTACTATTATTATTATTACTATTATTATTACTATTATTATTATTATTATTATTATTATTATTTTTATTATTATTATTTCGGTGAGCCAATTTGAGGCCATCAACCGCATGAAGCTGCAGGGTGTCAGCAAGGATCAGCAGGAGGCGAGGCGAGAAAGGAGGGCAGGGTTTTGTTCCCGGGGTGGGTGGCTCTTGGGTGTGGATCAACATTGAAGAGCTGGGGCAAAACCGCAGGTTTTAGTCTTTGGTTCCATTTACCGTTTGGCATTTATTGGAGCCACAGCCTCCTGTCCGCGCTGGGTCTTCTACACGTCAAGTGAGCTCGGAGAGGTGATCCTCGAAGAGATGGATGCACTGCTGCGGGAAAGATCCGAAAGAGCCAAGGCAGTTCTTTGTCATCTGCACGAGCTTGAAGCGGCTTCAGCTTGCTGTGTTGGGTGCTGCGAGATGCACTTGCTTGAAGTGCTTCCATGACCCGTGATGAACACGCGCCAAGCCGCACAGGCGAGCGGGCAAGATGAGAGTCAAGAGCTAATCGACAGTGAAGAGGCGGCGCTGATGACTCCAAGCGAGTGCTGAGTATCCTTCAGTGCAGCATGCATTGCAAGCGAATTGCTGTCAATGCTGTGTTTCACAGTATCAGTTGCTCTGGCCAACTGTGCCTGTTGCTGAATCACCTTTGAATAGTCTGAAATGATTCCTTTAGCTGCCCAGAGTTTGGCAAAAGGCGTTGGCATTGCGAGTCTGGCGTGCAGATGGCTCTCCCAAGGAGAGTGCCGCGTCTGCCATAAAGATGGCGAATTCAGCAGGATTCAGAAAGTGTTCACGTCCATGAACGCTGCATCATGGCATGAGCAACAAGGTGAAACAGTTTTCTGTCTTGTTCAGTCTCCCAAGAAAAGCTGCATAATGTGAAAGGATATTGGCAGCATATTGATCAGCTGTCCACATTGGCTAACATTGATACTCTCCAAACTAGGATTAGAACATGGGGTTGCCCCCCGCCCCCACACTAGTTCCCGTGTCAGGTGGAGGCATCAAGAATATTGACTGGCTCATATCGCTTGCGTTGCGCACTGTTTGAATCACGACTAAAGAGCCCAAGTGGAGACATTTGAGATATCGAATTATTTAAACACCGTTTTGACGTACAGATGGACGTGCAGCAGACCTAGGGCATGCTTCTTACTACAGCCACAGTTGAACCACACTGTGGATGGTTGTACCCCTGTCCAAGCGCAACATGGTTCATTCTCACAAATGCTTGTGAGTGTTGCCTTGTGCCAAGTTGTGGCGCATTGTGTGCAATCGCTTTCAGCAATCGCTAGACTCATCTGATGTTGTTCCAGGGTGATGCCCTTAACACGTGACCCGCATGTTGCAGACGTCCTCACCTTGGGGCGGTCCGCTTTCCAGAATACAACCCTGGAACCCTTCAACGGAGAGGCAAAGGGAACTTGAGCCGAGATGGTTCAGCGGGTAAGCAAGGCAATGAGGCAAAGAGGTGAACGGCTGGGGCTACATGTTCGGAGCCTTGTTTGCTTGACTCGCCAAGCCGCGGGGATCAGTTTTGACGGACAGTCGCTGCGCTGCCGTCCCTGGGCTACATCCTCAGGGGGCAAAATGAGCCACAATCAAAACCCGGGTAGATGCAGGTTAGTAAGGGGCAGTCCCAGCCAGAAGTAGTTGCGGCCGCCTTCTTAATTCTTTACATAGTTCTGGGTAGACCATTTTACTACCGGGTTTTGATTGTGACTCAAATGGCAGAGGTTGGCTTCCGGAAGTGCGACCGCTGCCGAGGTTGAGGCATAGCCGGGTGAAGGGCAGCGGTGTTCGACAGGCACAGTGGCTTGGGAGCGATGGCTTTTTGTTTTGCCGGCAAGTGAGGTCAGTGCTTGCATGTCTACATTGGCCTCGCCCTCATGCGACAGACGAAGCTTTGCGACATGAAGCAAGCTTCGTGCCCCCGATTTCTGCTCCCAGGTTTGCTCCATTTCTGGCACTGCTCCTGAGCATCCAGTTTTCTCGCCCAAAACTGGGCGCTTTGCTGAGCACATTGTGTTTCTCAAAATCGTGGTCCCCCAAAACAGTTGGCTTCCTTTGGGTTTCTTTACCCGCGAACCAAAACGGGGTCCGAATCCCATTTTGAGCAATCCCCGCAGGCCCACATCAGCATTTCCGGCTGATCGGCTGTGGAGCCGAGTGGCCCAGGCAGATCTATGAAAAGCGCCTCATCGAGAAGCAGATTGCTGACACTGGGCGATGTCCAGTCACCAAAGAGGAGCTACAGCAGGAGCACCCAACACAAACAGAGTGCCAAAACATGTTTTGCAGTGCGGCTGGGAAGCATCGTGAACACATTGCTTGGGCACCGCTTTTGAAAGTCGCGTGGTATGTTCTGCCCCGGTGAGCGACTCTGTTTGAAGTCCTACAACACAACACGATAGACTTGTTCGCTTGAGAGTGAGCGTACAGCTCGACATTCATGGTAGACGCAAAGAATGCCGTTTGGACACCAGAATTCTGATCCCAGTTGGTTTGGGATCAACACGGATGTCTACTGCACCGTGTCGTGGATCTTCTGTGTGTTTGCACTTTGTGGAGAGATTCTGGTCCGTGAGGGCGTCAGTTTAGGGGAGCAGATCAAGCCTTAAGCAGACAAATCCTTATGGAAAACTCAGACACGTGGATGCTCCGAGTCCGTGCTTCCACCGTCCAGCATAGCTTCGTTGGCCTGACGGTTTCTGCTCCCAGGCATTTGGTATAGCCTCACCTCCGAGCCCATCGGACAATACTCTTAAAAGAACGAGCAGGTGAAGCACATGCGCTTGACTCCCCTAGAAACATGTATGGGTCCAAATGAAACCACCAGAGGTTTTGGTCCATGTCTCGACTTAGGGTTCCATTTGGGGTACATATTGCTGAACAGCCATGTGCACCTTGGGCCCGGCTCTTCGCAAAGAGAACGAAGGCCCGCCTTCAGAGGTTGCCTCTCGCATCGGCACAGGAGGATTTGTGCGAGATGAAGGTCAACAAAGTGGTGAAGCCACGGCCGGCATCAGCAACCTCCATTCCGGGCATGCTGCCACAACCTGAGCTTTCATGTCTTAAACTTGTTCTCTGTTGGATCTGTATGTTTCCCTTGTTAATCTTTTTCAACTTCAGACTTTCAGATCATGCTTGACTGCGAGGACAATGCTACAGAGTGAGTGGGATGCACTCATGTCTGAAACTTATGAGCTCAAGACGCCAGCGACTCAGGTCTGTTGTCAGCGTTCGTGTGAGCTCGCGCTTGGTGTGTGTGTGTGTCCCTGTTAAGGTTTGGGTGGTTGCGGTGAGCATGTGGAGCACGCAAGGAACCTTGATACCACGCGCAAGCAGCTCTCCCATGCGCTGTACCAGCACGACGCCGCCTGCCGAGTGATTGCACGACTCTTGCGAGAAAGAGATGCAGCTCGGGCGCAGGCCTGATCCAGAGGTCTGGAAAATACATGGCTCAAAGGACATATCTACAGGCCCCATAGATAGGGGCGACAAAAGCATGCCAGGTATGCCGGCTGTTAGCAGATTCTGCTTCTACAAAGCACGGTAAATCCTTGTTTTAAAGCTCAACATGTGAGAGACTCTTGCAGGTGGCCCAACTTCAAGATCAGCTGAGCAACTCCATGCCCACCAAGGGCGGTGTTGCACAAGAAGAGGCGAGACATGCCTCGTTGCATGCAAATCAAAAGTCGGATTAGCCCCCTGCTAGGGAGAAACCGGCCTCACAGCGCAGATCATTCAGAAGATGGAGGATTTGCGCAAAAGACATGTGCATGCACTAAAGCGCCGGGATGGGTATCTCATTGAGCTTGCGCAGCGCAAGCGTGCGAGCCATGAGGACTTGGCCAAGAACCTGGCGAAGACGCGCAAGCAGAGCTGCCCTCAGCACGGCGTCGGTTGTCACGAGACAAGGGCACGGTCAGAGTCACGAGGCGCAACTTTCCGGACCTTTGTCCGCTGGACGAGGTGAAGAGGCGCAGCAAGATGTTGCTGTGGTGGTCAAAACCGTTAAAGGGGATCCCATTTGGGGTAGGTGAATTCACCCATTTTAGAGCCTTTTTTAGTGGGGATTGGGATGTTCACTGAGGGTACGATTTGGATTTTGACCCATGGCCAGATGTTGCAGAGGGGATTTTTGTGAGACTCGTTCTGCAGGCTTCAGTCTGTCACCAGCCAGTCGCTCCACCAGTCAACAGCACCCGGTGTGCTCTGTGTGGACGTCCACAAGGACCGCTTTCCTCATGCCGCGCTCTTTGCTGCGTGATGCAGCACTCAAAGACATGGGAATGGTTGCTCGCGTGCATAGCGCCTCGCAGGCAGATGCAAATCGAGTCGTCACAGGCGGAGTTGATTCCCAGGTGGGCTGCTGCACGCCTGTAAATGGCCTACCGGCAGAAGTGCAGGTCGTCCTCTTCAATGCGCAGAAGGGAAAGCTAGCGCAGAAGATGGTGGGACATTCCAAAAAGGCGCTCTGGCCTCAAGAAATTGTCTGCTTTCCGTGCGGGGACAGGTTACTTCTGTCAAGCTCCATCCGGACAAGGACGTCATTCTGTCGGCATCGCAAGATGCCACTGCAAAAGTTTGGACCTGCAGCGGAACAGACTGGTCCAGCCAGTGCGCTTGCTGTCCGCCTCTGGGAGAGATGGGGCAATTCAGCGCGAGGTACAACTGCTTGCACACCGTTCACAAGCACAGTGCAGAAGTCACGGATGTCGGAATTCATCCATTGGGCGAGTTTGGAACTTACATCGATCTGCCTTGAAGAAAGCACAAGGTGGGTGAGTTTGGATGCCTTGAAAAAAGCGCACGCAGCACCGGCAGAAATCGGAACGAAGCGGCGTCGTCTTGCCCAAGGTACTTCCTCACGTCGTCCTTGGACAAGTCCTGGGCAATCCACGACTTTGCCACCGGCAAATGCGTGCGACACAAGCAGGCTGGGATGATTTGAAACCGCACAGCTTTGGGTCGCTTGAAGCTCCCAGATCCAATGTAATTCTTTTGGCAGGATTTGGAGTCTGCTTACAACTGCATGAGCTTCCACCCCGATGGCCTGATTCTTGCCGGCGGAACCGAGGAATGGCGTTGTAGGGTGTGAGCTGCTGCATATGAGCTATGCCAGGACAAGGCTGTTGTTGTGTGGGATGTCAAGGAGCAGGCAGGCAACACACGTGTCGGACCTGCCTCAAACAGTTGTACGTCAGGCAACCGTGGCAAATCTACCGGCCGAGGATGCGATCCAGGCACAGTGGTCTTTGATTGCGTTGTGCGTGTTGCATATATTCAGATTTCTGGGTGAATTATCACGACCTCCCCAAATGGTGGTTTATGTGGGGAATAGCCCCCCAACCACCTTTCAGGCCGGTGAAATATCATAATTCACCCAGATACATTCATTTTTGGTCCGGAAGGCCTTGACCTTCTCGGGCAATGGCTATTACCTGGCATCTGGGTCCAGAGATGGGGTGGTGAAGTCTGGGTCTTGTCTGCCTGCTTTTCGCAGTGCGCGGTGCGTTACGCGTGTGGACCGAAGCCAACCAGAAGCGTGTGAGGTTGTGGGACTTGCGCAAGCCTCTGAACATCTGCACGCTCAAGGCGCCTGGAGCGAGACGGATGCGTCAAAACCCCATGGGCTGTCGAGTGATTTGGAGCATGTTCAAATGGCTGTGGGTGAAACGCTGGTAAATGAAAACAAGGACATTCAAACCTGTGGTCCGATTCCTGGTGGATTGATTTTGACCCATACCCATATGGAACTCAATATTCAAGGGCTTTGCCCCCGGCTGCGCTGGCATGGCAGGCAGAGCTCGACAGAGACAGAGAGAGAAACACGCAGAGACCAGAGACAGAGATACGGAGACATGGAGACACGGAGACACAAAGACACAGGGACAAAAGAGACGCAGAGATATGACACAGAGACCGGAGACGCGAGAGCGAGATAGAGAGAGAGAGAGAGAGAGTCATACGGAAGCTATCCTTGGCAAGGGGCAGCATCCTGTTACAAAGCACTCAGAGCGTCTTTAGGTAAATGTCAAACACGCATGCGTCAAACCAGAGCGCAAAGCTGGCAAGTGAAGGTCCACGCGCACGCGCACTCACGCGTCTGGGTCTGCACTTGCCAGCTGACAGAGCAAACAAGGCAAACACCAAGAACAAGGCAAAGGCCATGAAAACCAGTGTGTCACTAGCGTCGCACACTCGCGCGCAAGCGCACGCCCTTCAGCCTTTCAAGTTTCTATGTAGAACTTCACGGGGAATGTCATGGAAATCTGCTGATTCGACCCCTATCCCTAGTGGATGTGGCACCTAGCCAGCAGAAATGGTGCTGTAATCAATCAAAGTTCAGCAATTGCCATGCTAGTTTGAAGCAAAATGCGGAAAAAGAGCATTGCCGGCATCACCAGCACCACTTGCATCATTTGCATCTCCCGCATGATTTGCATCATTTGCATTGCCAGCATCGCCAGTGCTGAAGGGAATAACTGATTATGCCTTGCCACATCATGATACAGCACTGCATCTCCAGCATCCCCAACATCACCCCAGCCCCATGCCCCCCAGCATATTCCAACAGAGGGACCATGCTAGCCGCGTTGGCGCATCACAACGCAAGGGTTCCAGAGCAACATGCTAAGTTCTATCTTGCAGGAGATCCGCAGCCAGTCCCATCCCAAAGAGCAAACACATGGGATTCACAAACTGGGGTGATGGTGGGGAGGTTTTTGAGCAAATCGGAATTAGCAACATTGTCACAGGCACTTTGGATTTTTTCCAGAATTATTTGATACCTTTAGGATTCTCTCCTTCAATGATAGAGAGGAGAGAATGAGTTGGGCGAGAATTGGGGATGAGATAAGAAAGAAGGAAGGATGGACCTCCAGAAGCCAAGTATCTTCATACTTGGATTTCTGGAGTTCCTGTCACGATGAAAGACTCTTGATGGAACGGTTCTTGAGAGATGGGGCCATCCAAATTGGCAAAAGGCGCATCTCAACATACGTGTTTGACCCCGGGAAGCCGGGACAACACACAGACGCACATTTGCCACACAGAGCCCAAGAAGGCTCCAGAAACCAGAAAGCCAGAACCTCCAAGACAACCGAATGGAAGCAAACAAGTAAACCCTAATTCGCACGTGGGGTCACAATCAAAACCCGGGTAGATGAAGGTTAGTAAGGGACAATCCCAACCATAATTATTTTTACATAGCTGCGGCCGCCTTCTTAATTCTTTGCATGGTTCTGGGTCAACCATTTGAATACCGGGTTTTGATTATGGCTCACGTGGGCCGCCTTTTCCCTTGCAGAGCAACGTGTTTTGCTGGCATCCAGACTGCAAGACGCGCCGCGGTCAAAACCAGGCGACCAACCTTAAGACACCAGGCGACCCATCAACCACATAACGAACAGAGAAGCCAAGCTGAGAATGGTGAAAGTTGCATTTCACAAACTTTTGATGATGCCGGCAGCCTGTTTTTTTGACCCGTCCTGACACCTGTGGGAAGCCAGGGCCATCTAATGCTCGAGCGTTGGCAGATTCGAAGCGTTGGCGCTGCCGCTTTAATTGGGGTGCTTCGCAAAGTGGAGCCCTGACATGGTTGGTTTATTTTTGGATTCCGTTTGCATACCAATAGGAGTCTCAACTCCTGCTGTCGAAGATGGTGTCCGCTACCCCCAAACCACAATTTGTGACAAACAAAATGGGTATTGTACCTACATAGGTGTGGCTCAGAATTAAACAGGAGGGGTTACGCAGGTCTTGGTCCATGTTTCCACTTACCAGAGTTCCATTTTGGTACCGGGAATTTGAGCCACAGCCACATAGTGGCTATACAGAGCTTGTATATTTCAAGAAGGCCTGCGGGTGGAAGCCATGAGATTGGGTTGTCAGGTGGAAGGTGGAGTGAACTCCCTGTGCTTTGATGCGACCGGGTGGCGGCCTCAAATTTCATGCTCTCCTTTTCACAGCTCACGGGACTGGTCTAGAAGCTCATTTGGCCACGGGCTTTTCAAAACCCAAATCGGTTAGCCCCCAGTGAACGGGACCCAATCCAACCACTAAAATAGGAAGCCTAAAATGAAGGCGAAGCCCCAAACTTGTTGGTTTCGCTTTTGGCTTCTCTTGAAACCAACCGAAAGGGGCTACCCTCAGAAAAAGGCAGGCCCATTGGTTTTGACAACCACAGCCAAATCGGGGCAGGCCCGTTTTTGTGATCCCAGAAACTCTGAATGCGTGCGTGCGCAAGCGCGCGTGCGTGCGTGCGCGCGCGGGGGTGGGTGGGTCCCAGCGTCACAGGCAGTACTTGGCAGTGGCTAGCAGCATCGTGCAGGCCAGTCACAAAATGGGTATGGGTCAAACATGGGTAGCCAAAATGGAACCTTGGCAACTGGAAACATTGACTAAAACCTGCGGTTCCCTGGTTGTTTAATTTTGCCCCACACCCAAATAATCTGAGATCGGCGAAAGGCCAAGCACTGACTCGCCAGGTCTTCAACTTTGCAACAAAGACGACGCTCACGGAGTCTGTTGCGCTGAAGGATTCTGCGCAAAACAAACTCACCAAAGAAATGTCGCATTGGAATTACGAAGAGGTCAAGGAGCGAGCAAACGGTGTCAGGATCACAGGGATGCGGTGATGGGTCTTTGTTGGGGTGCAGACCTTGGCGAGTGGCTGTTGTTCACGCTGCTTTGAACTTTGACATGGGTGTGTCTCAACATAATATTAACCCCGGATTAATAAACCCCTGGTTGATTAATAGGGGGTGTGTCCCCTTTTGGTGGCTTTTGGAGGGAACCCCCCCTAATAATGGGACGGGTTTTAAAAATCCTGGGTCAACAGAAGGGACCTGAAGAATGGTGGCTTCCCAGCCGTCCAACACCAAAAGACAGCCACCTGCCAGTCCACAATAGTTGAGCGGTTCGAACTGCTGGCTTTGGACTTAGGTCCCAATGCTAAGACGCTCGCTACGGCTTCTATGGATCAGTCAATGAAGATCTACGCACCGAAATGAGTGCCCGTCCTAGTTAACCAGGCCGATTTATTGCCCCCTTTTGGTGGTTTTGAACATCTCCTTTGGCCAATGTAAATGGGGGTTCCTGGTGATGTGCAAAGGGGAAATACAGGGTAGCCCCGTTTACTACAGAAGCGTCACTGAGTCACACGATGTTTGACAAACACCAATGTGAGGTATTGCTGCATGGCCAAACATGGATGGGCGGTTAAGGGCCTCGTTGCCCTTCAGGATGGACATGCTCTAATGGCGTGCATGCTACGCTGTGGAAGCGGCATGTGGTGTGCATGTTTAGGAGGGTTGCTTGCCTCATGCAAAGGGAAAAAGTTAGCGAGTTCAAGCTATGCAACCAACAGCTTTTGAGGGACCTGACAATGCAGCGAACCAGATGGATTGCACCTGGCCTCCGGAGACAGCGAGCAAGGGCATGATATAGTACACGGATAGCTGTGGGTAAAAAATTGGCATCCAAAATGGAATCCTGGTGAATGGAACCCCATGGTGGTTTAATTTTGACCCATACCCAGATGGTTTGAGTTAGTATGAGCATTCTTCAAACTTTGGCAGTCAGCTCCCTCCAAGACCTTGCGAAGCATGAAGGGGTGTGACTGGCGCATGTCTCAGACGCACAGCACAACATGACCAACGCAGCTAGAGAGGCATGACGCGTTCGCAATGGCCCGGGAACGTGTGGACCGCCAACGTGCCCGAACACCGAGCCAGCTGCAGCCACTTGGAGCATTCCTCTGAGCGAATTTTCAGAGCGACCGACTTCTTCTTGAGCTTTGCCCCTGGAGAGGTTCAGTTCGCGGGGGCTAGATTGGGTTTGTTTCCCTAATCTCAATCATGTGGCTGTGGGTCAAAACCAATGCAATCCCATTTTGGGGTAGGTGCACCACCCATTTTAGAACCTATTTTACTGCGGAGTGGGATGTTCACTGGGGGTACGGGATTTTGACCCATGGCCATATCATTTGAGGCGAGAGCCTTTTTACCATGTGGGGTGCTGAACCTAACCTGGGGTCGCCTGGCATACCCCAGCTGCTCTTGCAGCCAGATAGCCTTACTTTTGCAAAGCGGGCATCATCCGCGCTCCTTGGAATTTTGGAAACCTTTGCAAACATCCTTGCCATCTTTTAACCGGCACTTCATAGATTTTGGCCCCATTACCAACGAGCACAACTGTCCGACATTGGCTGGTGGCTGCTAACGTGGGCCGAATCGTCCAGATGGGTTGCAGACTCTGCAATCACAATGCAATCTGACCACAACAAGAGTATTTTGCCTCAAGCAGGGCTGTTTCCTTCTTTCCGTCTTTTTCTTCCCTTCTTCCATTTTTTCTTCCTTCCTTTTTTGCCTTCCCCGCTCCCATTTCGTCCTTTTCTCTTTCTCGGTCGCCAGCTTCTTCTCTTGCTTGTCAATTCATCTTTTGCTTGATCTTGTTGTTTCAGTTTTCTCTTTCTTGTTCATTTTTCATTTCTCTTTCTTTTTTTCCTCTTTGTTTATCCCTCTCCAGTTTCCGAAGGCATGTAGCTGGCTACTGATCTAATTTTGACAGTCAAGGATACCTTCTGGCGATGAGCAGCAGAAACGCGCGCATGTGCGGGCATGCAACGTTGGAAAGATCGCAGCCTATTGCATTCGGAAGGAATCATCAATGGGCGCACTATTTGCGGACATTTGCTTTTGGTGGAACTTTGCAAGCTTCGGGATTTTGTTTTGCTAAGGTATTGCAATGATCTCGAAGTCCTCACTGTGTCCGGAGTTTCCGGGTTCCTTGGCTGCAAGTCGGGGTTCCGAACATTCGTCAAAGGGCTTCTGCGATTTGCTCGGTTTCACGCTGGTGCTAGGTGCACTTGCGGCTCTGGGCAGCAGTTGACGGAAGAGCGTCGACCTGAGAAAAATGCGCTTCCAATTGAAGGTTGGTTTTCTCAGTTCCTCAATTTCACTTGGAACTTTTGAAAGTGAGTGACTGGGTGAGGCACGAGCGATTGGCGTCGCAAAGTCTGCGCCTTGAGTCCTTCCGAAAGCTGTGCGCTTCTCCACGTGTTGAGGTCGAAGCCTGGTGTCTCGTGCAGATGCGGTGTCCATCCGGGAGGAGGAGTTGGAACAACGTCTCGAAGGCACCCTGTGGCTCGAAAACATGTGGGTGTGGCTCAAAAATAGTTGGTCCATGTTTCAACTTACCAGGGGTCCAATTTGGCACCGGTTTTTTGAGTCACAGTGATGTACCCAAACTGGCACCTTGGCCTATGGAAACAAAGACTAAAAAAGACCTGCGGGTTGCCCGAGTTTGAGTCACACCCAAAAATCAGCAAATTGGGAAACATTTCCCCGCTGGGAGCAAACTTGGGTGTGGCCCAATATGGAAACAAAGACTAAAAAAAACCTGCGGGTTGCCCGAGTTTGAGTCACACCCAAAAATCAGCAAATTGGGAAGCATGTCCCAGCTGGGAGCAAACTTGGGTGTGGAACAATATGGAAACAAAGATTAAAACACCCTGCGGGTTGCCCGAGTTTGAGTCACACACAAAAATTGGGAAGCATGTCCCAGCTGGGAGCAAACTTGGGTGTGGAATAATATGGAAACAAAGATTAAAACACCCTGCGGGTTGCCCGAGTTTGAGTCACACCCAAAAATCAGCAAATTGGGAAACATGTCCCAGCTGGGAGCAAACTTGGGTGTGGAATAATATGGAAACAAAGATTAAAAAAGCCTGCGGGTTGCCCGAGTTTGAGTCACACCCAAAAATCAGCAAATTGGGAAACATTTCCTAGCTGGGAGCAAACTTGGGTGTGGCCCAATGTGGAAACAAAGACTAAAAAAAGCCTGCGGGTTGCCCGAGATTGAGTCACACCCAAAAATCAGCAAATTGAGAAACATGTCCCAGCTGGGAGCAAACTTGTGTGTGGCCCAATATGGAATCAAAGACTAAAAACCACCTGCGGGTTGCCCGAGTTTGAGTCACACCCAAAAATCAGCAAATTGGGAAACATGTCCCAGCTGGAGCAAACTTGGGTGTGGCCCAATATGGAAACAAAGACTAAAAAAAACCTGCGGGTTGCCCGAGTTTGAGTCACACCCAAAAATCAGCAAATTGGGAAACATGTCCCAGCTGGGAGCAAGCTTGGGTGTGGCCCAATATGGAAACAAAGACTAAACAAATCTTGCGTGTTGCCCGAGTTTGAGCACACCCAAAAATCGGCAAATTGGTAAACATGTCTCAGCTGGGAGCAAACTTGGGTGTGGCCCAATATGGAAGGTTGCCCGAGTTTGCGAAAACCCAAATATCAGCAAATTGGGAAACATGTCCCAGCTGGGAGCAAACTTGGGTGTGGCCCAATATGGAAACAAAAACTAAAAAAAACCTGCGGGTTGCCCGAGTTTGAGTCACACCCACAAATCAGCAAATTGGGAAACATGTCCCAGCTGGGAGCAAGCTTGGGTGTGGCCCAATATGGAAACAAAGACTAAAAAAAACTTGGGGGTTGCCCGAGTTTGAGTCACACCCAAACATCAGCAAATTGGGAAGCATGAAGACTTGGGTGTGGCCCAATATGGAAACAAAGACTAAAACAACCTGCGGGTTGCCCGAGTTTGAGTCACACCCAAAAATCAGCAAATTGGGAAACATTTCCTAGCTGGGAGCAAACTTGGGTGTGGCCCAATATGGAAACAAAGACTAAAAAAGACCTGCGGGTTGCCCGAGTTTGAGTCACACCCAAAAATCAGCAAATTGGGAAGCATGACCCAGCTGGGAGCAAACTTGGGTGTGGCCCAATATGGAAACAAAGACTAAAAAACACCTGCAGGTTGCCCGAGTTTGAGTCACACCCAAAAATCAGCTATTTGGGAAACATGTCCCAGCTGGGAGCAAACTTGGGTGTGGCCCAATATGGAAACAAAGACTAAAAATGACCTGCGGCTTGCCCGAGATTGAGTCACACCCAAAAATCAGCAACTTGGGAAACATGTCCCAGCTGGGAGCAAACTTGGGTGTGGCCCAATATGGAAACAAAGACTAAAAAAAGCCTGCGGGTTGCCCGAGTTTGAGTCACACCCAAAAATCAGCAAATTGGGAAACATGTCGCAGCTGGGAGCAAACTTGGGTGTGGCCCAGTATGGAAACAAAGACTAAAAATACCTGCGGGTTGCCCGAGTTTGAGTCACACCCAAAAATCAGCAAATTGGGAAACATTTCCTAGCTGGGAGCAAACTTGGGTGTGGCCCAATATGGAAACAAAGACTAAAAAAAACCTGCGGGTTGCCCGAGTTTGAGTCACACCCAAAAATCAGCAAATTGGGAAACATGTCCCAGCTGGGAGCAAACTTGGGTGTGGCCCAATATGGAAACAAAGACTAAAAAAAACCTGCGGGTCGCCTGAGTTTGAGTCACACCCAAAAATCAGCAAATTGGGAAGCATTTCCTAGCTGGGAGCAAACTTGGGTGTGGCCCAATATGGAAACAAGACTAACAAAACCTTGCGGGTTGCCCGAGTTTGAGTCACACCCAAAAATCGGCAAATTGGGAAACATGCCCCAGCTGGGAGCAAACTTGGGTGTGGCCCAATATGGAAACAAAGACTAAAAAAACCTGCGGGTTGCCCGAGTTTGAGTCACACCCAAAAATCAGCAAATTGGGAAACACGTCCCAGCTGGCGCGGCGCAATACGGAAAGAAAGACTAAAAAGGCCCTGCAAATTGCCCGAGTTTGAGTCACCCAAAAATATGGAAACAAAGACTAAAAAAAGCCTGCGGGTTGCCCGAGTGTGAGTCACACTCAAAAATCGGCAAATTGGGAAACATTTCCTAGCTGGGAGCAAACTTGGGTGTGGCCCAATATGGAAACAAAGACTAAAAAATCCTGCGGGTTGCCCGAGTTTGAGTCACACCCAAAAAATCAGCAAATTGGGAAGCATGTCCCAGCTGGGAGCAAACTTGGGTGTGGCCCAATATGGAAACAAAGACTTAAAAAACCCGCGGGTTGCCCGAGTTTGAAACACACCCAAAAATCAGCAAATTGGGAAACATGTCCCAGCTGGGAGCAAACTTGGGTGTGGCCCAATATGGAAGCAAAGACTAAAACAACCTGCGGGTTGCCCGAGTTTGAGTCACACCCAAAAATCGGCAAATTGGGGAGCTAACTTGGGTGTGGCCCAGTATGGAAACAAAGATTAAAAAAGCCTGCGGGTTGCCCGAGTTTGAGTCACACCCAAAAATCAGCAAATTGGGAAACATGTCCCAGCTGGGAGCAAACTTGGGTGTGGCCCAATATGGAAACAAAGACTAAAAAAAGCCTGCGGGTTGCCCGAGTGTGAGTCACACCCCAAAATCGGCAAAACAGGGGACAATTTTCCTAGCTGGGAGCAAACTTGGGTGTGGCCCAATATGGAAACAAAGACTAAAAATATCCTGCGGGTTGCCCGAGTTTGAGCCACACCCAAAAATCAGCAAATTGGGAAACATGTCCCAGCTGGGAGCAAACTTGGAAGTGGCCCAGTATGGAAACAAAGACTAACAAAAACCTGCGGGTTGCCCGAGTTTGAGTCACACCCAAAAAGTGGCAAATTGGGAAACATGTCGCAGCTGGGAGCAAACTTGGGTGTGGCCCAATATGGAAACAAAGACTAAAAAAAACCTGCGGGTTGCCCGAGATTGAGTCACACCCAAAAATCAGCAAATTGGGAAACAGTTCCCAGCTGGGAGCCAACTTGGGTGTGGCCCAATATGGAAACAAAGACTAAAAAAAGCCTGCGGGTTGCCCGAGTGTGAGTCAGACTCAAAAATCGGCAAATTGGGAAACATTTCCTAGCTGGGAGCAAACTTGGGTGTGGCCCAATATGGAAACAAAGACTAAAACAACCTGCGGGTTGCCCGAGTTTGAGTCACCAAAAATCAGCAAATTGGGAAACACGTCCCAGCTGGCGTGGCGCAATATGGAAACAAAGACTAAAAATACCTGCGGGTTGCCCGAGTTTGAGTCACACCCAAAAATCAGCTAATTGGAAAAGATGTCCCAGCTGGGAGCAAACTTGGGTGTGGCCCGATATGGAAACAAAGACTAAAGAAAACCTGCGGGTTGCCCGAGTTTGAGTCACACCCAAAAATCAGCAAATTGGGAAACATGTCGCAGCTGGGAGCAAACTTGGGTGTGGCCCAATATGGAAACAACGACTAAAAGCCTGCGGGTTGCCCGAGTGTGAGTCACACCCAAAAGGTGGCAAATTGGGAAACATGTCCCAGCTGGGAGCAAACTTGGGTGTGGCCCAATATGGAAACAAAGACTAAAAAAATCCTGCGGGTTGCCCGAGTTTGAGTCACACCCAAAAATCAGTAAATTGGGAAACATGTCCCAGCTGGGAGCAAACTTGGGTGTGGCCCAATATGGAAACAAAGACTAAAAAAAACCTGCGGGTTGCCCGAGTTTGGGTCACACCCAAAAATCGGCAAATTGGGAAACATGTCCCAGCTGGGAGCAAACTTGGGTGTGGCCCAATATGGAAACAAAGACTAAAACAACCTGCGGGTTGCCCGAGTTTGACTCACACCCAAAAATCAGCAAATTGGGAAGCACGTCCCAGCTGGCGTGGCGCAATATGGAAACAAAGACTAAAAAAACCTGCGGGTTGCCCGAGTTTGAGTCACACCCAAAAATCAGCTAATTGGAAAAGATGTCCCAGCTGGGAGCAAACTTGGGTGTGGCCCGATATGGAAACAAAGACTAAAAAGAACCTGCGGGTTGCCCGAGTTTGAGTCACACCCAAAAATCAGCAAATTGGGAAACATTTCCTAGCTCGGAGCAAACTTGGTTGTGGCCCAATATGGAAACAAAGACTAAAAAAACCTGCGGGTTGCCCGAGTGTGAGTCATACCCCAAAATCGGCAAAACGGGGGAAACATTTCCTAGCTGGGAGCAAACTTGGGTGTGGCCCAATATGGAAACAAAGACTAAAAAAAACTTGGGGGTTGCCCGAGTTTGAGCCACACCCAAAAATCAGCAAATTGGGAAACAGTTCCTAGCTGGGAGCAAACTTGTGTGTGGCCCAATATGGAAACAACGACTAAAAAAAGCCTGCGGGTTGCCCGAGTGTGAGTCACACCCAAAAAGTGGCAAATTGGGAAACATGTCGCAGCTGGGAGCAAACTTGGGTGTGGCCCAATATGGAAACAAAGACTAAAAATATCCTGCGGGTTGCCCGAGTTTGAGTCACACCCAAAAATCAGCTAATTGGAAAAGATGTCCCAGCTGGGAGCAAACTTGGGTGTGGCCCAATATGGAAACAAAGACTAAAAAAAACCTGCGGGTTGCCCGAGTTTGAGTCACACCCAAAAATCAGCAAATTGGGAAACATTTCCTAGCTCGGAGCAAACTTGGTTGTAGCCCAATATGGAAACAACCACTAAAAAAGCCAGCGGGTTGCCCGAGTGTGAGTCACACCCCAAAATCGGCAAAACGGGGGAAACATTTCCTAGCTGGGAGCAAACTTGGGTGTGGCCCAATATGGAAACAAAGACTTGACAGTAACTGCGGTTTTTGCCCGAGCTGCTTAATTTTGAGCAAACCCCCCCTCACCTTATGCGAGGCCTGGATCCGGAGGCGGAGCGCTTGCAGCTGGCCGAGGAGGAGCTGCGCTGGCGGAAGCCTCGATGCGTCCCGATTTTTCCCCAGATAGAAAGCTATGGGGTTCTTACTTCCAATAAAGAGGGGAAATTGATTTGCGAGTTTGACGGCTGGGTGCTCGGGGGCATGCAGTGTGGGGTGCTATTTGGGGTCTGTGCAGGTGAATTTTTCCAGGTCAAAGCGGAGGCCCAGCTTTTTGCTGAGGTCTTTGCAGGACGTGGAGGACGGTCCCTTTTGCTCCTGGCAAAAAAACACATGTTGTGCATGTCCGCTCTTTTGCCCGCGGTTGATTAATTTTGCCTGCATCTTCTCAAGGTGTTTCTTGTGTTGTTTCTTATTTTTTGTCAAACAACAAGAAGCAGATAGAATTAAACTGAGTACCACAAACCGAAGAAAACCAAGCCACGGCATCTCAGACATTTTCGGTTCGATCCAAAGCTTTGGGTCCTGCAGGCTGCCCGAGTCGAGGCGGAGCAGGCCTTACAGGAGGTCCGGGGCCGCGAGCAGGCCTTGGTGCAAGTGGAGGACGGACCTTGGCCCGGTGGAGACCCCGAAATCGGATGGTTTCAACGGGAAGCCCAAGGAAACCGTGCCCCGAATTTTTGAAGAAACGTCCCGTTGGAGCTTTGCTGTACAGGGCCCAGGGTTGAACAAATCGGAAGCAACGCCAACAAGAGGGACCTGTTTCTGACAATGCCAATACTGCTTGAGGAGGATCTTTGTCAGGCAGCTGATGAGCTGACTGCGCTCGAACAGAAGGCTCGCGAATCCTTGTGCTTGCCCGCACTGCACGGCTTCGGCTTCGCTCGGCAGGTTGTGGAGAAGGAGTCTGCATTGGTTCAGGACGAGTCCAATCTGATTGAGGTGCCAGCGGTGATTCTCGCGGCGAACGCTGCGACATTTTTTGCGCCAAGGTGCGAAATGCCGCAGAGGAGGAGATCAGCCGAATTCAAGAGAAACACGACCTCATCGAGCAGGAGGCCACGCCAAGCACCCGAGTGCATCTTTTTCTGAGATTCTGGCTGTGGGTCAATACCGTTTTGGTATCCCATTTTGGGGTAGGTGAATTCACCACCCAGCTTAGAACCTATTTTAGTGGTTGGATTGGGTCTCGTTCACTGGGGGTAGGATTTGGGGGTATTGACCCATGGCCAGATGAGACTTTCAGGCTTTTGTGGCACACTCTCAGAGTTTTCGAGATTGATATGGATGAAACAATTCGCTTATCAAGCATCGCGTGGCCATGCTGTATGGAGCTTTGTCCTCGTGCGATTTGGTTTTTGTTGCAGGAGGAGAGAAACTCTGCTGCTAAGCGCCAAAGCTGCTATTTGCTCCAACCTCCTTGCGAAATGTTTAGCCCATCCCGATTCCCAGGAACAAAGTGCATGCCCTTTGCAAGGTTTGTGTATTTGAAGCCAGGAAGGACTATCATCCGGTGAGTTGTCTGGGTGACGGGAGCGAGACACCATAGACCCTAAAAGTCCTGAAGATTGAAGCTGTCAAACTGATTCATTCCAAACCGTGAACCCCAATTCAGATCGCACGGTCATGCGGGCAGCTTCATGTTAAGAGTGGGAACCACCTCCACAGTGGTTGGTGGACATGAATCCCCACCTAAATGGGTATGGGTCAAAATTAAACCACAAAAAAACAACAACAGCAGATTTTAGTCCTGGTTTCAACCTCCCAGGGCAACCCATTTTGGGGTCATTTTATTTTGACCCACACCCAAATGACGTCCGGCAACAGCTCCCTTTAGCGTCACCGCAGACCTTCTCGCTGCGCAGCGAGTTCGAAGACCTGGGAAACCTGCTCGACGAGGAGGGGGTGCAGCGGCGTGGACCCGTTTGGATGTCGGGATATGGCGGTGGTCAAAACCCTTTGGTGTTGATCCCATTTTGGTTGGGTTTTCGGTGAATTCACCACGTCTACTTTAGGCTTTATTTAAGTGGTTGGATTGGGATGTTCACTGGGGCTGCTGCTTCACTGCTGCCGGCAAGCCTACAGTGCCTCGGATGATGTTTCGAACCGATTGTGTGTCGTCAAGCTGTTTACATCTTTGGGCACACGATGCCACAGTAGCTGGGTTCTGAGAAAACAACAGCAGATGGCTGTGGGTCAAAACCAACGATACCATTTTGAATTGGTGCACCTCCATTTTAGTCTATTTTAGTGGGGATTGGGATGTTCACTGGGTAGCATTGACGCGGCTGAAGATAGGACAAGTGGGATTCGATCCTCCAGGTGTCTAATCAATTCCCAGAATGGGCACGCATTGCGTAGGCAAGTGTTTGACAAATGGTCAAAAAGCCGCGTCACAGATGCAGCTATCTGGAAAACACCGCAATGCGAACCAGCATTTCTTTGTCGCAGATGAGATATGGCGTGGGCATTTCTTTCTGACGTGAATGCCCCGCTTACAGCGCAACATCCCAAGGAGTGCATTTCCATGCCTTTACAGACACGGGCGGCTCACGAGCAAAGCTGAGCAGCAGAGAGGACACACTTCCCGTTCTGGGGTATCCAAAAGCAAACTGCACTTAAACGTTGCGAATGATATATCCTGACAAAAACTGGTGGAAGATCACCAGTAGCCAGGCTAACCAAACTCAGCCGCACAATACCAATGGCGTGCTACCGTGGCTTCAACCTTTTGTTAGCACAGCGGGACTCAACTTTCAGCGCACAGGTATGTAACAATCGGTTGGATGCCTTCAATTCCATTGCCCGCAAAAGCCTCAATCTGCATTGACGTGTGGCAATGTAGGCCTTGCTTTTACCAACTCTCCGCAATTAGGTACCGACTTTGAAACGGAAGCTGCAAGCCAAATGCCGGCTGACAGCCACTACGGCGCAACCGCAACTGGCACTGTCAAGCACCTTCGTGCTCGACACAGGAAAATACACTAGCGTATGCTTGCGTTGTGACTTAATATTTTCACACATGCGCACACACACACACAAACCTGGGTCTGTCTTCTGTTGATGGTACCTTTTTTGCTTGCATTTGCACTTTGTTCCAAGGTTGTGACGGTGTCAGAGCGCCAGGTGGAGCGCGAGCAGTGGTCTCTTGAGTCAGACCGCAGCCTGCTGGAAGAGATCGAGTCTCAGGCGCCACATCTACCATGCATGAATTTCCATGGGGACCCCCTCCCAAATGGGTGGTGGACATAAATCCCCACCATGATGCCCACCAAAGGGCCCCTCCTTAAAATTCCTATTTGTTGCTGCTTTCGTGCCTTTGCGTGGCTTTTGTGTATATAATCTGCAGCCACCCTAAGCCACCCCTCCTAGAAGCCACGGCAGCCGACGCTCGAACCTCCTTAAACCCACTAGCACCGACCCAAACCAAATCCTTCCCAATAAATCCCAAACCAAAATCCACTCCAAACGCACTCTAAACCCACCCTAAACCCTAACGCAATTTCTTGACCCCTCTTAGTGAACCTTGGACCAGCCCTAAGCCAACCCTAAACCAACACAAACTGATCCGAACCACCCCACGCCAACCAGAACCCCGCCCCATCCATGAAGGCTGAAAACCACCACCATTTGGGCCCTTCAGGTAAAAACCGATGTGTGTCTCAAGAATTGATGCACGCTCATGAGTGGTTTTCCCCTTGGCTTCCTTTTTAACCGATTTTGAAGTGGGTGTCCTCAAAAACACACCACCCCCATGTGGAGGTTGATCAATATTTCGTTCGGAACCAAAATGGCCATAGCTGTTCTCATGTGGTTTTCAGTCATCAGACCCGTGGTGGTTCCCCCCCGGGTCTTCCCATGTACATGGGTACAAGTCCAAATTAGAACCAGCAGGAATCGGACTGCAGGTTTTAATCCATGTTTCTACTTACCAGGGTTCGGTTTTGTGGTTACCCTATTTTTGACCCACAGCCATATCGCACCTTTTGGATCAAGGTTCGTGTGCCGATCCAGGTCGAGCCCATCCGCCGGAAGCTTATGGAACGAGAGCGGCGCTTGCACAGCGAGGAGGAGGAGCTCAAGGCTCTTGAGGCCTGAGACGTCCCAGAAAAAGGACGCCCGCAGGGGTGGGTGTCTTTTTTGCGATGCCACGTTTTTGGTGGGTTTTTCAGTGAGGGCAAACCATGTTTTCCTTTACTTTCTTGGTTCCTCTGTTGCTTTTTGTCCTTTTGGGGGGGTTCCACACACCCATGTGGCAAAAAGGCGTCAACGAAGCGGGATGTTTTAGCGCACTTTGTAAGGTGTATAGACGAATGTTTCAAAGTTATGAGACCCCCCCAAAATGGCTTCGGTTGTCCTTTGGGTTTCCCAAAGCAACCGAAAGGGTACCATCAAAGAACCACGCACCCATCTGGGTGTGCTCAAAATCAAACAGCTGGAGTTATCCAGGTCGTAGTCTTTGTTTCGATATACCAAGGTGCCATGTTGGATATGGGTCAAAATAGAACCACCAGCAAGCCGCAGGTCTTCCTTGTTTCCATGCACCAACCCACTTTGGGGTGACCAACTATTTTTGGACCCCGCGCCCATTTCGGGTACGTCTCGAGCGTTTTTCAACCTATTCCAGGCGGATTACGAGGAAAGGGAAGCGCAGCTGGCGCCCGAGTGACCCGCGGCTCGGGGGGATGTTTGTGGCGCACGTTTTAGGTTTTTGCCACGTGCTCAAAACCGATTCGGGTAGATGATCCGGATAGTAAGGGACAATCCCAAAAATAAAAATAGCTGCAGAGATCCGCCTTCTTGATTCTTTACATGGTTCGTAGTTGCGAAATCCAGTTCGCATCACCTTGAGACTATGGGAAACCAGTGTTTGTTGGTATTTGCAAGGGAAGCGAATCTGTCCAGAGATTCTTAGACGCTGCAGGATTTTGTCCATCCACAGTAGGGTTTATGTACCGGCCTATAGCATAAGCCGCTACAATGTTGGTAGAGCCCAAAGTCAATGAGTTTTGGGCAGTGATCATGATCTTCGCAAGAGTGATCTTCCGGTACCAAACTGATCTTCCTTTTTACAAATGTGACATCCTTCAGGCTTGGGCAGGTTGGTGAGGTATCATTGCTTTGGTTCAGCATGCGTGCCTGCCGCTTGCGGTTTTGGCTCAACTGGACCTGGTAGGATCTGTCTCGGCTGTTTTGCTTTTTCTGGACCCCGCCATGTCCAGCTCGGAGATCCTCGTGCAGCAGGACGCTGCGCAGGTCCAGCTTGCTGCCGTCAGAACTCAAAGACTGTCCTCCAGCCACAGCATCATCGACGGCCCGATGTTTACCGCTGAGCTGCAGAAGATGCGGACCACGTCGAACACAGCCACGTCTTTCAACAGACTCTGTGATGAGCCGTGGGTCCTCTCGGAAGCTCTTCTGTGATTTGGCCCGTTTTTTCGGCTCGCCAATTGCAGCTGCTAAGCCGTGCAGCAGATGTCGGCAGAGGGAGATTTACCCACGATTCGCAGCGTGTCCAGCAGTCCTGGAACAAACGGGGGAGGAGAAAAGAGAGAGGACAATGTCGGCCGAGCCGAGTGAGCTGGAGGCTCTAAAAAACCAGTCGCAAAGCGAAATCTACACTCGAAGCAAGCTAAAGGGTCCATGTTCAAGAGGCCCCGGATTGCGTGAAACGACTCATCAGAAGTGCTGTTCCGTGCCCGGACAAGCCCTTCACTAGGGCACTGCCTGACCGGCTCCCAGTTGCACTTGTCACTTGGAAGACCCCTTTCTGTCAGTGCCCTCTGCCCGCCCTACGACGGATAGGCCGCGCTCAGTCTCAAAGCGCGCGGGAGTGCCGGAAGATTGGGTAGAGGAAGGCCGACGCCACTGAGCGCGAAGAGCGTCTCAAGAAACACCATCGGACCAGTTGCCCTCCCAAGCAACCCGTTCCCGAAAGATGACTGCCTTGAGGGCAAAGAAGAGACAATGGACCGGCCATCCTGCAAAGGTTGGAGCTGCGACTGTCGCCGCGCATATGGGCGACGAGTGCGTCAATGACAGGGGCAGCGCACGGAAATCGAGGCAACTCAGGGGGGGCATGACGCTGCAGCGCAGAGAGAGAGAGAGAGAGAGAGAGAGAGAGAGAGAGAGAGAGAGGGAGGCAGACAGACAACAGACAGGCAGACAAACAGAGAGACAGACAGAGACAGACAGACAGACAGACAGACAGACAGACAGACAGACAGACAGACAGACAAGCAGACAAGCAGACAAGCAGACAAGCAGACAAGCAGACAAGCAGACAAGCAGACAGGCAGACAAGCAGACAAACAGAGGCATAGAGGGGAAGGGAGAGGGAGACAGACAGAGAAACAGAAACAGAGAGAGAGAGAGAGAGGATTGTGGGAGGACGGAGGATGGGAGAGGGAGGGAGAGAGGACTTCTCGAAATGCTGGGGAAAGGTTTTCCGTCGCCGGCCTCAACAACATCAAGAGCTGCGTGCTCCCAGCGTCGCCGCGGACAGTCATCTCTGTCGAGGATGAGCTCTTCAACTTGTGGGAGAGTAGTGAGGTCCGCGTCGCTCAACTTGAGCTGATGGTCATGTTGGCCACGCTTGTCCGTCACGCGCGCCACCTTCGCGGTTTAGGACTTGGCAGGCAGACTTCTTCTTACTACTGACTTTCCCCTGGATTCCCCTTCATGTGCCAAAAACAAGCTTGCTTGTGCTGATTAATCTGCACACGCAGCGCCCATAGGAGGCATTCAAGTACAGGAGAAGACCTGCTCGCCTTCATCGAACGTCAGGTATGAAGAGAGCGCGCAAGCCGCGGCTACGATTCTGAATCGCTGACAACTTATTTTTTGCATACGTATCAATTTTTGCTGGACTTGCACTCACGTCGATATCATGGCTACCCTCCATCAAACCTAGGCCAGCAAGAGCTCGATCGTCAGATCGAGGAGAGCCGCCAGCAGCAGCATGCTACTAAGACCTGGCAGAGCATGCATTATTCGCCATGATGGAAGGTGAAGTTGCCTTAATTCCCGAAGCTCTAGGGGTTGATTCCCCATTCTTTTCAGCCATCGTTCTTTTCCAAAGCCAGCCATTTCCCCGTGGTTTTGGGTGGTTTTCTAGAAAGAAGGATCCCTGGAAAGAGCGGAGATGGAAGTTACCCTAGAAAAGCCTGTGGAGTTTGCAGAGCTTGCCTGAGGCAGCGGCTGCTGCAGCAGCTGCAAGATCTCAACGACGGCAAGAGTGCCGACTGCGTCGCCTCGGAGGTGCGGATGGCATGAACCGTCGCAGATTCGTTTTCTTGGTCTTGAGAGGTGAGAAACCCTGTGGAGGGGGCGGATCCTTTTTGGGCACTGGCCCTCAATCATATGGACGTGGCTCAACCTAGGGTTGGTTCCACTTACCAACTTTGGTACGTTCTGTTGCGCCGTGCCTGTTTTGTGGTTGCTTTGAAGCTCAAAAGCACAACTCCGATCTTGACTTCAAAGCCTCGCCAGCTGTATGACAGGAGATCCACGACAGACTCGTGCACCTCCGGAACGCCGAAAGTGATTGGGCCCTGCGCTTACCGGCGCCAAGTCTCGGGCTTTGGATCAGGCTCAGCGGGCTGGGTATGGGTCAAAATTCAACCACCAAGAAAAGCGCGCGTTTTCCTCCATGTTTCCATTTTCCAGGGTTCTATTTGGGGTATTTTTGACCCAGCCGGCTTTGAGACTGTGAAGTTTGAGGCCGAGCATGTGCGCCTTCACCAGCACGCCTGCCTCGCTTAGTCCAGTCCATCTGATTGGATGCTGGCTCTCAATCCAGGGAAGAGGTGCAGAACCTCGAAGCAAAGCTGAAGGCGCCACATGTGTGTCCAAGACAAGTGGGGGTTGGTCTGACCATGGAGAACCTTTTCCATGTGGCCTGGGTCAACACCAATGTTACCATTTTGGGGCAGGCGCACCACCCATTTTACTCTGTTTTAGTGGGGATTGGGATGTTCACCGAGGTACGGGGCTTTGACCCACAGCCATGTGGTTGAAACATCAAATCCTGAGTTGTTTTTCAAACCCAATGGTCATAGCCTTTGTAAAGTTTTTAAAGGACCTCTTGATCAATTCAAGAGTTGCCAAAACTATGTGGCCAGTCAACGCTCAAACACCCCCGCCCGGAGGTTTTGCCACTTGCATGGCGCCATATGGCGCCCACCTTGTCAGGCTCTGACCCAATAGGCGTGGAGCATTTGTACATAGCTGCAACGGACATGAGTTGGAAAAGAACATATGTGCTTGACTTGTTTCCACTGCGTTGAAGTGGCGGCTGGCACTACATTTTGCAGTGCTTTGCAAGACATTCCTAACATTATATGCTCAGAAATGTAGAATCACACCTGCTTTGCCAGAGGAACAAACACAGCTATGGGCTATTGGGGTTGAATTATGCAAGTACTTGAGCTGCAAGATGAACTGCAGTAGCCCCAGCAAAGCGTAGATGTCTCCAGATTTGTGCAAAACCGGCCGACATCTCATCCTGCCAGGGGGCATGTGAAGCACTTGAGGCCACAAAAGAAGACACGCTGATCAAACAAGTTTGCCATTCGCAATGCGACGATGCCTTTGCCCGCTGCTGTAGCGTTTGTTGATGAGGACTCGGGCAGCTTGATAGCTTGATCTGGGTCCGTCTTTTTGTTGAGGGCTACCACATGTTTTGTTTTTTTCCAGGGAAAGCGGAAATCCGAAATCTATCTTGCATCCCCCAAAAATAAGACTCCCAAATGTAGCGAGGCCTTTGCTCAGGACTCTCGAGCACGCGAGCTGCGCCTTTCGTCTAGACAGGCCTGATGAGTGCCTGTTTTTTCGCTGGAGTCGCGGGTCATGTCTTTTGAGGGTCCCCTTTTCAGGTTGGTTTGAAGGGAAAACAAAGGGACACCACTGATTCACACAACTGGTCCAAATTCTTATCGGGGTGGGTCTTCTTTTAAACAACCCGCATGATGACTTTGGATTTCCTCTTGGCTTCCATTTCAAGGCACACAAAAACGTGACCAGCTCCATTTGAAGACGAGTCACTTCTCGCTGAGAGGAAAGGACGGCTCTGTACACCTTCCTTTGCTGCCTGGCGGCGCGACTTGCGTTCCTGGTGGCGCATGGGCTGACCCTCGTGGTCATTTTCGCCGGAGGCTGAGCGGAGCAAACTCTTCGCTGAGCTTGTGGTTTGTTAGACGAACGGGTTGAGGTATCCTTGAATGAGATCACTACTGGCCAAGCGGACGGCTTACGGATGGCACATTAGGCTTGATCTCTCATTTGGGTGTGGCCTTCTTCTTTGGGGCAGGGGGGGGGGAACCCGGATCTTTTGGTTTTTTGAAGGGAACCCAAGAGGGCTGAGCATTTCTGTGGGTCCCCGGAAAAAAAAGAGAGAGAGAGAGAGACCCATTTGGTGTTGGCATCTGCAATTTCTGAGGCCAATTGGTGGTTAATGTTCCTTCCCATTTGGGTTGGATGTGCTTCATGCAGGGGGCTCAAGCCCTTTGTGGAGTGACACGGATCCTCAGTGATGTCAGGCACGTTATTGCTGATGATCGCATGGTGTGCGTCTTGCCCGTGCTCCGGCTTTGAGTTTGAGAAGCATGCCATCTTACTCGATTGAACGATTCTGCTGCGCATTCCTGGAATGATTCCTGCTTCAGCCATCGAGTTAGGTACATCAAGCTATGTCTCTCAGAGCGTCAGCCGCGCTTGAATGACAACCCCAGTATATTGACCGAGGCGCAAGCTTTCATTTCTTTCACCATGGGATCCAAACGCTGTGGCTCGAATGCAGACAGTGACCTGAGTCCATGTGCCATGCAGGTGCTTCCAGAGATTGTGCTGACCATTCCTGGGCTGCTCTTCCTCGTGCTGGCGTTTTGCAGTGAGTGCCCCCCCCTCCCTTGCTTTGCTTTGCATTCGTGCCAGTGATCTGGCTGTGGGTCAAAACCACTGGGATCCCATTTTGGGTAGGTGAAATTGGGATGTTCACTGGCGGTACGATTTGTATTTTGACCCATGACCATTTTGGTGTTTTCGAGTTTTTTTCTTTGAGGTATCATGTCTGTCAGTACTTGACCGCTGCCCAAGCAGGCATGGCATGGAATCTCGCCAAAACTCACCGGATTGGCCCGCTGGCTGTGGCTCAAAAAAGGGTAAAATGGCACCTTGGTAAATGGAACCAAAGACTAGAACGTGCGTAACCCTAGCTGTTCAATTTTGAGCCACACCCAGCTGAGCGGGAAAAAAGAGAGAGAGAGAGAGAGAGAGAGAGAGAGAGAGAGAGAGAGAGAGAGAGGGAGAGAGGTGTTTGTCTCCAGTGGCATTGCCAGGCGCCGAAAGTTCTCCAACTGGTTTGACAACTCTTCTGATCATGGTGAGCCTGCACGGGTCTCAGCAGTCGCGCGTCTCATTCGGATGGCTACTGTCGCCCGATTGAAAGCACTTCGCAATGCCGTACTGGTACCGCTGTAAACATTCACTGCGGGCACGGGGTACATGCAACATCTGAATGTGAGAGTCGCTGATTCCCGGGCATTTGCAGCGTTGCCGAGTCGCCGATTGCCAGGCTATCTCTTTGTCAAGGGGCTCTCTTCAAGGTGCACAGAGTCCGCTTGGGCCTTGGCATAGAACTCCGCTGGTGCCCTGAGGACAACTCCGCTCTGTGGCTTTCGTTAGGCGGGAAGGAAACCACACTGGCAGGTTGCTGAGCGTCTACGCTGCAGTGGCTCGTCTGCTTTTGGGGAAGCCCCCAAATTGTGGCTTTCCTGAAGGTTTCCCGTTAAAAGCAAACAAACATCGGGAACCCTCACAAAGAGACACACCCCATGGTTGATGAGATTTTGTCTATGCGCAGGTGCTGGGCTCCTGACTTCTGCGATTTGCTTTGCAGCCACCCGCAAAAGCTCAGCTCAACAGGCGAGCGGTTCTCAGCAGGGAATGAAATGGAATCACCCCTATAAACCACCCTCTAGGGGTTCCCTTGGTTCGGGACTCCCCTTCCGGTTTATGCCCGAAACCCGGTGCAACACCAGGCTTTGGTAGTGGCTCCCTTCGTTTTTGTGGTGGCCAGGCACTCGGAGACCGTTAGACAGTTGGAAGGGCTCTGATTGGTTGGCCTCGGCAGTTTGCCGAGGCCTGCCTGCTGCTGGCATCTGTGCACAGGCTTTTTCGGTCGAAATATTGCTTTTTTTTTCCCGGTTGGGCTGGTGGCTTTTGAGGTTAGCCTTGGATGGTTTTAAAGGGAAACGAAACGAACACCACATATGTTTTCCTTTTTTGGGGGGGGGACACATTTCCTCTTTTTTTTGGGGCGGGGTGGTGGAGGGGTGATGGAGGGGTTCCCGGAGTTTGAGCCAAAGCCAGAGGCTGAAGCAGTATGCCGCCGTGCTGCGGGCGGACGAGAAGACCTTGCTGCAGACCGAGGCCTTCGGCCTTTGGCGTGTGAATTCTCTCGTTTTCGGTTGGGTATGGGTCAAATTAAACCACCAGGAATCGGACCGCAGTTTTTGGTCCTCCTTTCCATTTTCCAGGGTTCTACTTTGGGTACCCATTTTTGACCCACTGCCAGTTTTTTGAGAAAAGCGGAGGCATGCCTCTTGGGCATCCTGGGGGTTTGCCTGGTGTCAGTGACCTACAAAGTTTCAGTGGACAAGCTCAAAGAGGCCCGCGGGGGGGGGGGGGGGGAGGATTTTTGGTGTCGCAAAGAGGGAGCCACTGGTTTCGGGGTTTCGGTGTCTAGCTCAGGCAAGTCCTGAAGGATGTTCATCTGGAATCCTCCTCTGCCTGCTTGCACTTCCACGAGCTCAGCTTTGCATCTGGGAGGTGCGCATGAAACGTCTTCGTCTGTAGCGTTCCCGAAAGTCCCTAGATTTCCCTTGCTGGTTTGAAGCATCACCATCTTGGCCCCGAGAAAAGCTGATGTTTCCCTTGGTTGGGCTTGTTTTGGTTAAGGGACATGTAGGGAAACCTGCTCCCCTGAGATGTTTCGCTTTCATTTCCGCGGGTTTGTTTTAATGGCAGTTCGGATCGAACGCAACTGCCTGAACCAGGCACAAAGAGGGCTGTTGGAGGACCGCACGTTCTCGGGCCAGGCAGCCGCGCCCGCTCGCCCTTCTTTTCTTTTTCTTCTTCTTTTTTTTCCGAGACGAAACGCGTCGGCAGGCAAGAATTTCTGTAGGATCCTCTGAGGCCTGACCAAGCCTGCGCATGTGGGGAACGTGGAATTGCTCGCCAGGTTCAAATTGGGATGGCAGAGCCCGCCCTCGCAGCCTCTTGATAGTTAAAAAGGTTGCCTGGCGCAGTGCCGGTTGGGAGAAAAAAAGCAACCCCAGTTGGCATGACGAGTTGTGTGCTCCGCTGCCATTTCGAGCGGCAAATTCTACCCTCTAGCCATCCACTGTCATCGTTGCTCAATGGAGGAACAAGGCGGCACCAAGTTAGAGAAGGTGCAGGCGGGCCAGCTCTCAGTTAGCGTGAATTTCCCGAGCTTGCTTCTTCATTGCATTCTTTCCTTGTAGTCACATCTTAGCCACATGACATTTGACTCCCCTTGCTCAGTGCTTCGGCCGAAAGAAGACTGCCGTGGCTGTGGCGTTGGTGCGAACCGGCAGCGGCCAGGCGCAACATTGCGCTGTCATGCAGGGTAGTGCTGCGCATGCTCAAAGCAAAGAGTCCAGTTCAAGTGACACTTGTGCAGGTGCGCCTGAACGGCTGTCCTTTGCACACGGTGAAGCCTGACATTCTGCGAGTCAAGGTCGAACCAATCCAGTGCAGTGAACTCCGGGCACAGAAGCTGTTGACGCAAGGTCTACGAGCCTCTCCTCCTCCTCGGAAAGGACAAGTGCAGCAAGGCTTGGGTTTGTGCTAAGGCGGAGATTCCTCACATTCGCTGGCAGGTGGACATCCGCTTGCGAGTGAAAGGTGGCGGTTTCACTGGGCAGATCTACGCGCTGCGGCAGGTAGGGACAAATCCTGCAGGCCATGGTATTTGGCCAACGCGAGGCTATTGCCAAGGGCATTGTTGCGTACTACCAGAAGTACATTGATGAGGCCTCCAAGAAGGAGATCAAGGACAGAATGCCCACTGCGGCGGTAGACATCGCTTCGATCACTCAGATCACTTCCAGGACATCCTGATGGCCTACGACCGGTCATTGATTGTGGCTGATCCGCGACGCTGCGAGCCCAAGAAGTTTGGAGGCCAGCCGCGTTCATGGAGCCGAAACCCCAAGCCCGTTTGGCCATCGCAAGAGCCTCTACTCCATCTGTGCATCCAAGTTTCAATCGCGGCCGCATAAAATGGTTTGGTCAAACACAGGTATTGAATGCTGGCTTTCTTGCAGCTTTCTCGCCCTTGTGCGCTAGGCCGATCCGCCCGTGCCCGCTTCCAGAAGTCTTACCGATGAGCAACTTTAGATGCACTGCATGTGCGAAGATGGATATGGCTTAGGGTAAAACAGTGCCGGCGGTGACCGTTGCCAGCATGTGGGGTGTGTCTGACAAAATATGGGACCTCACCCGATGGATAGTTTCCCGGTGCTTGTCCTTAAACCCCCTCCCCCCAGGAGGGGTACAGCCGTGCACCCCAACCTAATTTCTAAACCACTCCCGAATCACCTCTAAACCGACACTAAGCTGACCCTCGACTCACCCCAAACTCTATGCCACCCTAAATCCAGCAATCAAGTCAACCCGAACCTCCCCAAACCTGCCCTAACTCCCCTCACCCTCAGCCTCCCCTCGGCCTTCCCTAACCTCCCCGAACCTCCCCGAACCTCCCCGAACCTCCCCGAACCTCCCCCCCGAACCTCCCCGAACCCCCCCCCCCCCGAACCTCCCCGAACCTCCCCCTCCGAACCTCCCCGAACCTCCCCGCCGAACCTCCCCCCCGAACCTCCCCGCCGAACCTCCCCCCCGAACTCTCCCCGCCGAACCTCCCCCCGAACCTCCCCGAACCTCCCCCGAACCTCCCCGCCGAACCTCCCCCCCGAACCTCCCCGCCGAACCTCCCCCCCGAACCTCCCCGCCGAACCTCCCCCCCGAACCTCCCCGCCGAACCTCCCCCCCGAACCTCCCCGCCGAACCTCCCCCCCGAACCTCCCCGCCGAACCTCCCCCCCGAACCTCCCCCCGAACCTCCCCCCCGAACCTCCCCCCCCGAACCTCCCCCCCGAACCTCCCCCCCGAACCTCCCCCCCGAACCTCCCCCCCGAACCTCCCCCCCGAACCTCCCCGAACCTCCCCCCCGAACCTCCCCGAACCTCCCCCCGAACCTCCCCGACCTCCCCAGACCTCCCGAACCTCCCCCCCTCCCCCCGAACCTCCCCCGAACCTCCCCCGAACCCCCTCCCCCCGAACCTCTCCCCCTCCCCCTCCCCGAACCTCCCCGAACCTCCCCCCTCCCCGAAACCTCCCCGAACCTCCCCGAACCTCCCCTGAACCTCCCCCGAACCTCCCCCGAACCTCCCCGAACCTCCCCGAACCTCCCCGAACCTCCCCGAACCTCCCCGAACCTCCCCGAACCTCCCCGAACCTCCACGAACCCCTTCAAAAAACAATAGGCCGCTGAGAAAAACAAGACCTGGGGGCTTAGGGTTTAGGGTGCAGGGTAGGTAGGGATGAGTTGCACCTCGACGCATGGGTTTATTGGAGTTTTTGCGTGGGTGTGGGTTTGTTGAGGGTCGGCGCGCGTGCCTGCGTGCTGGCTGGCTGGCTGGCTGGCTGCTCAGCGTGCTGCCTTGCCGGTTGCTTGTTCGTTGGATTGATTTGGGGTGGACAGTAAAATTTCGTCCAGCGGGAAGCGTCAGTGGTTCCTAGTTTCCGTGTTCATTTGGCTCGCCTCCTTCCCTTCTTGGCTCTTGCTCATGCCGGATCTGCTTTAATAGCCCCCGTGCCAACAGTCTGCGGGCCTCTTTGGTGGACACTGCGTTTGTCTAGGTTGGACTTGGACTTACCAGTACTTAATTTGGCATTGCAAATTCTAAATTGAGGATCGTCGAAGACATACTCTTAGATGCCCGCCTAGTACTTAAACTCTAGTACTGCCAATTCTACATTCAGTATTGCCACGACTTACTCTCAGATTCCCTGTACTCAACTTGGTCTTGTCAATTCTAAAATTAGTATTGCCAAGACGTACTCTCAGATTCTCGGATTCCTGATACACCACTCTTTAAACGTAGTTGCTAAGGCTTTGATCTTTGAATTTGGCACCCGCCTGAAGCACATCAGGCTTTTGTGGGGTACCCCCTGGTGTGACTATTTGTCCATTTTTTGTTGTAGTTTGTTGTAGGGGATTACACAAATTCGATGGTTCGGGGACCACTTCAAAAACAGGATTCCTGAATTCAAATAAGGCCGCCAGATGTCCCGGTGCTTCCAGGCTCCCTTCTTGTGTATGTTGCGCTGCCTAGCCTGGGTAGGCTCCCCAAGCTGTGGATAGCCGCGCGCGCGCGCATGTGTGCCTATTGGAGGGACTCGGTGTAGTCCATTCGATTTGGGCCCACAGTCTTTTTGAAGACAGCCGCTTGTTATGGCAATTAACGCATATTTGGATAATGATTCTAGAACGGGGTATTTGTTTTCCGACTCATGTGTATGTTGTTCGGCATCTCACCCTTCCATGAGCTTTTCCAGAGTTGCTGGTCACTTCGAGCGTGGCATGACACACTCAGCAACCCCAAGTTGGCATGACGAGTTGTGTGCTCCGCTGCCATTTCGAGCGGCAAATTCTACCCTCTAGCCATCCACTGTCATCGTTGCTCAATGGAGGAACAAGGCGGCACCAAGTCAGAGAAGGTGCAGGCGGGCCAGCTCTCAGTTAGCGTGAATTTCCCGAGCTTGCTTCTTCATTGCATTCTTTCCTTGTAGTCACATCTTAGCCACATGACATTTGACTCCCCTTGCTCAGTGCTTCGGCCGAAAGAAGACTGCCGTGGCTGTGGCGTTGGTGCGAACCGGCAGCGGCCAGGCGCAACATTGCGCTGTCATGCAGGGTAGTGCTGCGCATGCTCAAAGCAAAGAGTCCAGTTCAAGTGACACTTGTGCAGGTGCGCCTGAACGGCTGTCCTTTGCACACGGTGAAGCCTGACATTCTGCGAGTCAAGGTCGAACCAATCCAGTGCAGTGAACTCCGGGCACAGAAGCTGTTGACGCAAGGTCTACGAGCCTCTCCTCCTCCTCGGAAAGGACAAGTGCAGCAAGGCTTGGGTTTGTGCTAAGGCGGAGATTCCTCACATTCGCTGGCAGGTGGACATCCGCTTGCGAGTGAAAGGTGGCGGTTTCACTGGGCAGATCTACGCGCTGCGGCAGGTAGGGACAAATCCTGCAGGCCATGGTATTTGGCCAACCGCGAGGCTATTGCCAAGGGCATTGTTGCGTACTACCAGAAGTACATTGATGAGGCCTCCAAGAAGGAGATCAAGGACAGAATGCCCACTGCGGCGGTAGACATCGCTTCGATCACTCAGATCACTTCCAGGACATCCTGATGGCCTACGACCGGTCATTGATTGTGGCTGATCCGCGACGCTGCGAGCCCAAGAAGTTTGGAGGCCAGCCGCGTTCATGGAGCCAAAACCCCAAGCCCGTTTGGCCATCGCAAGAGCCTCTACTCCATCTGTGCATCCAAGTTTCAATCGCGGCCGCATAAAATGGTTTGGTCAAACACAGGTATTGAATGCTGGCTTTCTTGCAGCTTTCTCGCCCTTGTGCGCTAGGCCGATCCGCCCGTGCCCGCTTCCAGAAGTCTTACCGATGAGCAGCCAGTATTTCCATGGCTGAGCTATGGATACACAGAGAGTGGAAGAATCCCAGAAACGTTGAGGAGGCAGAGGGCGAGCCAGAAACACGCTCGCACGCTCCTTCATTAGTTCATTCGCTCTGTCACCTTGGCACAACATTGACACATATTGACAGCATAGGAGTTCTGCTTGCGTGCACTCCGCAAGCTGTATTGGTTCAATGCGAAGATCAGGATGTGTTTGGGCAGGTTATGCCCCAGTGGCGCGCTCGGGATCGGGCCTGGCGGAGTGCGGATTGGGCTTTTTGGACTCCCGAGGTCAAGATCGTACTCAGCCGCTCATGGAAAGGACCGAACCAGCGACCTCAGAGTGTTAGACAAAGGGTCCTAGGTTGTATCTGAGCGGAAGGACTCACCAGCGGCAGCGGCAGGCGCGATCGTGGCATCCGGGCATCGATCGGTCAGCCCCTGAAACCTCGAGTCTTTCCAGGGGTGCCGAAGTCGGAGACGCGAGCCGGGGCCAATACCCCGACCTAAGTGGCTCGAGAGAGCCAAGATTCGCTCAGGACCTCGCCTCCGATGCAAGCCCGCCTGGTGCTCAAGTTTCTTGGACCCCTCGCAAGCTCCGAGCTGGGACAGTTGGACCGTCAGGCTCTCTTGGCGGGCTTTCCCCACCCTGGCTGACCTCCGGTGGCAGGCCTTTCAACTGCAGAAGGTCTCATGCTTGTTTCGTCAGTTGCCAGGTGGACCAGCAACTGCTGGACGCATGCGATAGACAGACTAGAAGGGAGGCGGAACAGAAAGGAACCCCCTTGTTGGTCCCGGCTATGGCCGCAAGGTGTCCCAGGACAACCTCCAGCTGTCTTGCGAACTCAGGACCGAGCAGTGCGCAATTTGGGTGTTGCGCAAAATAGGTGACCGCCCCAACAATGTCCAGGTTCCTTTCGGTTCCCTTGAACACCCACCCCAAAAAGGGGTCGTCCATTTTGAAAGACACCCCCATTTTTGCGGGGGGGAGAGTTTGCTCCATGAGTGGCATGTTTGGTGGTGCCGGCTCGGCGGCCGGCTGCGCCAGGGCTGCGCAGGCTGAACTTGAGTCCGGCGAGGTTGAAGCTGGATGGCAAGAGGAGGCGGCGGCGATCAGCAAACAAAAAACCGAACACGTGTTCTCTCTTGCCGGTAACTTGCAAGGCGGAAAACCCGAGAATCAAGGCGTGTTTCTTTGTCTTTCTGGCTGGTATTTGTGCAGGTGGAATTCTGGAAGAGAGAGGTGAGCAAATTGGAAGCCAGGGACTCGATCAACGGCCCGCTCTCTGGTGTGCATGTACCCGCAGAGTGGTTCTCGAGTCACATTGCTTGCTCCTTGCTGGCTCTTGACATGTTGGGTCGTTTAGGGTTTAGGTGTTTCGTTCGTCTCGGGTGGTTCTTGAAAGGTCTAGCCTTTTGAGGCTCACGGCTTCAGATGTTTTTCGGGCTGAAAGCTGATGAGAAATGACACATCGGAGAAAACGCGCGCGTTGAGTCTGCATGGATGACAGGGTGTTCCTTCCGGCCTTGGCCTGGATCAAGAAAAACGGCCGACTGCTTGCACCGAGACAGCTGCCTCAGCTAGGATTCGGCCAGAAAAACTGGCATCGCGTCGCATGAAGATTATCAAGCTGCCGCGCTGGTTGCTAGAAAATGCATTTGACTTCCCCTATGCAAAGAGGATTATGTTTGCGAACCATCAATCTCAAGAGGGAGCCAGAACACAGCCGCATGAATATCCAGATCAACTGCGAAGCTGTCGCATTTAAGAGGCGCTGCCACACAAGCACGGCAAAGTTCCAGTGAGCTGCGGGAATCCAAGATGCAAGCCTGTTTCCAGCGCTCACAAAAAAGCCATAGGCTCTCCTAGCCCAGTTGCGCGAGGAGGGGCTCCGGTCGACTAAAGAAGCCTCAAGCCCTCTGGAGCACTTGATGCTTTTGGCGATGCGTGTCAGGTTGAGGGGTGTGCCGGTGAGTGAGGTAAAGTCGCGATGACAAGGATGCCTCCGAACGCCCATCGTTGTTTGGCGTACCGCGTGGTAACACGGAAAGGTCGCGCAGAAATAATCACGATTCATCTGGGGTTAGGGCGCTGACGGGGTGGCAGAGGGCTCGTATTGCCTCCCTTGCCTCTCTACTTGCCTGCCTCCCTGCCTTGGCGTCCCTGCACAATAGTCAATCGTCAATGCATTTGACCACCGCATCTTAGGAAGAGGTGCTAAGACGGCGCCGAGATGAGGCCTGCGCTTGCCATTGGCCGTTGAGAAAGGTCTGGCATTTCATGCCGACGGTTTGCCGCAGGCGAAAGCTCAGGACTGACTTTGATTCTCAAGTCTCTTTCATTTCAAGTCACTTGCCGCATTGCCAGGTTGAGAAGGGCCCGATCCGCACCGAGGCCCGATCTTCAGGGAATACAGAGGGAGGTCAAAATGGGGAGGTCGCAGCTGTGGAAGAGCGCGAACTTGCGGAGCTTGAAAGTGAGCAGGCGCAAAGCATCAGAGAGAGAGAGGGGGAGAAATGCCCAAGCTTGAGAAAGGGAACAGTTGCGAGGCCAGTTGTGAAGCTGCAGCTGAAGAGGCAAGCTCATTTGGTTTCGCTTCGGGCTTGCTGGGCCTTGGCTTTGTCAGGCTGAGCGTCGAAATGCGAAGCTTCGACACGGCTTAAAGCAAACTCCGGGCCTCGACAGAGGCAGAGCGCCGAACGCCGCACTCCGGATATTTTCTCCGAATTTGCAGGCGGCGCTGCGCGGCTCTTTGTGAGCGCGCTGCCGGCCTTGGATGCCACTGCGGTCGAGGCGGCGCCGTCGAAATGGCTGTGGCTCAAATAAATGTACCAAAATGGCTGTTTGGTAAATGGAACCAAAGACTACTTAAACGTGTGACGTGAGTTTGGAGCCGCGCAGGCTGCTCGAACAGCGCTCCACAGCCACATGCAGAAGCTCACGAATCGCTAATGAGCCAAGCTCCGAGCGACGTGCAAGCCGATGGATGTGAAAAAAGGTGCCGTAGAGCGAATACACAGCAGGGTTCTTTTTTTGGACTATCCTGGGGTAGTCCAAAAAAACGGGACCCTGGCACAGAGGAAATGTGCAGTCTCAAGCAAATTCTCAACAATCTGCGAAGGCTCCGAAGTGAAGGGACTCCTCGGAAAGCCGGAAAGGGTACTGCATCCGAGCAGTTCTCAAGGTCAAGGGAGTAGTATGCTGTGGTTTAGCGATGAAAGGTTTCTATGTACCGCGGATTCTTTTAGTGCTCACTAGACGTCAAAGGGATTCTTTTGGTACTGCTCAAGCTTCTCTGACACACAAACACACACACACACATTGTCACTTGGAGTGTTTTTCCGTTGAGACAAATTAAAGATTGCCAACTACTGTAGATCGTTTGAACACGCGCGTAACAATTGATTGCGGGGATGCGGCTTCGCAAGCATGTTCTTTGAGAGCCCGCCGCAAGGACGGCTTGCAACTGCCGAACCAGTCTTTTTCATTTTGTTTAGCTCCTTTAAGCATGTGGTTTGTCCTGGCTGGTTTCGCCTGATCTACGAGCAATGGCTGAGAATCAGAAGATGTCGCCGAAGTAGGATCCAACGGCAGGAGTGGCTTCATCATGCTCCTCCTGCTCTTTCAGCTCTCGGCCTACCGCCACGCAGTGTCGAAGATCTGCCTGGCCCAAGTCGCGCCACTGGTGCGCCTCCCACGTGAGTGACAGGCAGCACTTTGTGCACGAGTCAGGCGGCTGGCCTCCCACGTCAGGCCAGGCGGCATCCAGCGCAGAGCTTCTTTGCTAAGCTGGCGAGGAATTTAAGGGAGCCACCTCAAAAGCGGCTGCTGGACATGAATCCCCACCTAAATGATGTCCACCACAGGGTTCCTCATTAAAGTTCACACTCAGCTGTGAAAGCAGGCGAGAGGTTCAGCCTTGGCTGGTGATCAAGAATTTCGTGAGCGAGGCGTGAGAGCGTGTTGCCGGATTTGGCCATTGCAAAGATTCCGCGTGTCCACTATTTGCTGCACTGCTGGTGACTCTGCCTGCTGTCGGAACGAGTGTCGGTAGTTGTGTTCTTTCTCGTGTTGTCTCTGTTTTATATCGTTTTGCTTGTCAGCCTGAAGTGCTTCAGTCCACTAGTTTTGTTGTCCCTGCGCAAGCACTCTTTTCTGGGCTTTCAGGTATCTATTCAATAAGGCTGTGCGCTATTCATATGCTAAGGCAGCACACCTTTTCTTGAAGCGGCTATTTGGTTGGGAGTTACCCGTTGGGCCGTTGTCTAATTGGCTAATTAGCTAACAAGTTTGTGCTGGTGAGATGCCGCTCTTCGATTATTTTGGCTTGGGTGAGAGGTTTGCACCCTGCATACCCTGCCAATCTAGCTTCATATTTGCAGTGAACTTGAGGCATAGACCGCATGTGGGATACGGGTCGTTTCGCTCTTGATTCGTTGGGCTCGGGGGCTGGCTCTGAGCCTAGGCTCAGCGTTTTCCATTCCCAGTCCTTCGCCGGCCTGCGACTCCTCTCTGAAACGCCTCTCCTCGCCTTTGGGAAATCGCTGTGGGAGGAGTCACGAAGATGGCCGGTGAGAAAGCGAGCCCGCAAGAAACTCGGAGTCGACGGTCTCTCTCTCTCGCTCTCTCCAGACTGGAATTACTTTAGGATGTGGAACGTGGAACAGTAAGAAAGATAAAGGGGCCTGCGTCCTAGTAAGAAAGATAGAGGGGCATGTGTCCTTTGTACCAACACAAAGACGGAGGGAGATGGTGACGGAATGGGTGAGAGATGGAACAGAACTATGATGTGCAGTATGTGCAGTACACTCATCCTTTGCCAACCAGTTGACCGAGGGAATGAGGCAAAAGGGGCGGCTGAGGCCAAGCTGTTCATTAGTCCAGCCGAAAACCGAGAGGAAGGGAACGGCGACGGAGAGGGACCCCTCTCTGTTTCGCTTTTGGACACTTCACGAGCCACCTGAGGTACAATCAAACCTGGGTGGACGAAGGACGGTAATGGATAGTCTCAACCATACACAGGTGAGTCACAATCAACACCCGGTTACCTGGAGGCTGGTAAGGGACAATCCCAGCCATCACCTTTGAAAATTCTTTACATGGCTTTGGGCAGATGTGAATCCCAGGTTCGATTTGGGGAAATGAAAGGAGGGCCCGCGATGTGCAGAGCATCTCCGGTCTTTCATCAATTCCAATAGTGAAGACAAGTAGGAAAGATTCATGACATGTTGCCTCCACTGACCTGTCCCTGATAGGTAATGTCTCCTATTTTCCTATTTGCCCCCCGCCCGTGCTGTACTACTGTAGTCTTTGTTTTGCTAGTACTTCAGGTGCTGATCTTCATTGTCGATTGTAATTCGCTGCCTTTCGTTCATGCAAATTCAGTGATTGCTGCACATGCAAGCATTCTAGGTACTTGGAAAGCCCGCGTTGGAGGAGCGTTTCTCGTAGTACTATTGTACCTGTTTGAATTTGGCAGTTTGGTGATCCAGGGTCGCACGTGCTCCTTTCGAGTGTTGCCCTTGCTCTAAGCCTTTTGGTCCTGTCTCTGGACCGGACGGGGGCGGCCCCCGCATGTGGCATGCAACTTTCGGCCCGCTCGTGTGGCTTCTCTGAGCCCAGATCCAAGCATGACGTTATGTGGCTCTGGGTCAAAAATAGGTACCCAAATGGAAGCCTAGTAAATAGTGAAACTGTGTCGTGTTCCTGTGCAGGCTTGGTGCACAGTCTTCATCCATATATGCAATGCCACGTGCCAGCACGGGTTTGAATGATGTTGAACTCTGTAGAGTTGCCAGCACGGGTTTGAGTGATGTTGTAGAGTTGCAGGTTTGAATGACGTTGAGCTCTGTAGAGTTGCAGCCAGCTAGTGAGCAGATTGCATACATATGCAGGCGCTTGCGCATTGTGCTTTGGGCTCGAGGAGCCAAACTGACTGCTGTGCTTTGTT